AATCTTTTCTCTGAGTTATTCTGTTCTAGATTTACGTATGTGCTTGGTATCTTTGTCCTGTCGCAAGACCCAATGGTGGCAATTGTCAGACAGATGGCCTAAAATATGACTCTAGACCAGCGGTCCCCAACCTTTTTTGCGCCACGGACTGGTTTATGCCCGACATTATATTCACGGACTGGCCTTTAAGGTGTCGCGGATAAATACAACAAAATAAAACTAGTACCGGTACCGAAAAAAAAGAAGATTTATTCATAACACACCTGAAAAGACCCAGGAAACCGAATTAACGATCAAAACAATAACAAAATAACGCTGAAAACCGATAAAAACCTTGAAAACCATACATTTCACACCTGAGCCTCAACTCTCACGGCCCGGTACTGTTGTAAAGGCTCACCTTTCAGCACATTCACTTCACCAAATGCACCTTGTTTCTTTTCCTCACCTTTGATTGGGTGTGGTGCTTGGCCTTAATTGCACTCACCTGTCACTCGTTATATAAGGACTGCACTCACCTACCCCTCACTCTTTCTTCACTCCCACATGGGGCGGCAGCTGAGGTGAGTACTCTTTGAGTCTCCTGAGTTCATGTATTGTTTCAAGTTACTTAAATCATACTTTGTACTTTTTAGAGATAGCAGTCCATGTGTGTCTTTCCTTCCTTTACCCATTATTCAATAAAACGACAAAACCTGTAAATTGACTGCTTATTCTCATTCTACTCGGATGAGCCCATGATGATGACTACCCAACCCTGAACCTTCCTTCCTCCAAAACATGGTCCTCCGAGCCGGAGTAGTGTTAGCATCATGGATTCACAGCAGCCATTGACTGAAGATTTGAGATGTTCCGGTCGCGAAAGGCGACCTCCTGCCCACCTGCAGCAGTATGACGTTCAGTATCCTGGAAGTAGAAGTGCTAGATGTGATACAGAGAGTCAAACAGAATGCCAGCATAGTGACACAGACACACATGGGCTGCAGGATCCTGACGGGGAGTCAGAAAGTCAGCCAGAGACATCCCCTGCTCCTTTACCCACAAATCAAGATGAGGTGATGAGGGAACTCCTGATGATGATGAGGGAGATTAGGCAACTTATGATTCAATTATCTCCTCCCCATTCTCACAGTTCCTCCAGATCTTCAATTCACAATGTCTCATCTGATGAAAGCAAATCCTCTGTATGCGGTTTACAAGCCATTCCCCAAACGCATCAGCAACATGAGCAGTTCCCAGTGATTGATCCAGCAACATGTCAATCACCCTCTCAGCCCCCACAGGTTAGCCGTCACTCTAGTGCAGTTCAATCTGCTAGCCCTCCTGTCCCTAACTCAACAATATTAGATGCTGCAGTTCCTTCAAGTGGTTTGCCTAGACCAGTTTTTCCTACACCAGATGAGACTCCTTTTAATTTCCTGGCCACGCCACTG